GCTTTGTAGGACAGTGCGATTATTGTTTGGCTATATTTATTATTGGTAATAATCTACAACCTCGCCTGAATCGTGTTTAATTATTTAGTTAGTAAGCAGAGTTGACCAAAACAACTCGTAACCTAGATGGCTCTAAGGAAAAAATAAAGAAACGTTTTAGAATCTTAAGAAGCAGGTTCAACATGTGGAGTAGCAAGAAAAAGAAAAGAAAAGAACTCAATACATATCTTCCTTATTCTCTATAACATAACCGTATCAAGTGTTTCAACACAATAACACAAACAAAGAAAATATACAAAGATGAAAACAAATGTAGTTATATTGATGATCTTTTTCCTACTCCTTGCAAGAACAACATCCGTTGTTGCTGGTGAGAACGAAGCAGTTCTTGATTTCTACGGGAAGCCCGTACAAGCCAACGCTCCCTACTACGCCGGCTTCGTGACAATACCAACATTCATTACCCGTTACCGATTAAGCGATCCCGGGTCATGCCCGGAAGGCGCAGTATTGTCCTTTCAGCCAGCTCTAGTACCACGTATACCAATTATATTTGTATCATCTTCATTGAACTTAGCATTAAGTTCGCACTTCCCAGTCACTGCGCCGAGTCCGGGTTTTGGAGAGTTAACGATAAACTCCGTGACAATGACGAAGTACTCTTGACAGGATCCAAGTCAAGTAATGATAGTATGTTCACCATTACAAAAACTCACGGGCTTTACAAATTTGCTTTCAACGGTGCTGAAGTTGGTGTATATGAGGAAAGCTTTTATGTATGGAGGCTGAAACTTCGAAGGTTAGTACTGAACAGGAATCTTGACGCCATGGAGTTTGAGGTCGCTTTCTACCCAGCTAAGGATTAAAACATATTATCGGCTGGTCTTGTGTTTCCATATATGAATTCATTACAAATCAAATAAAACTTCTTGTTCTTGTTGTCTTTATAGGTTTATTGCAAATAAAGCCTCCAAAGTTTCACAGTTTTCAAGTTTACCCTTTACCTACAAAATGTAACAATCCACTCAATAAATCTGTGAATTAACCCTCCCACCCATCTGTACTGTATATTGTAGGGTTTTTACCAAAAAAAATAATCTTTAAATGATATTTTTTGCAAATTTACATTCAACTTACAAAAAATGCAAATCAAAGTCATCTTTCACCGTCGTCAAGTTTGTTTAATTATTAGAAATTAAATTAAAGTTCTCACGACGAATAGTCTAAATTTACGCTTATAATTTAGAAATTGTGTAACGCATGTGACTGTAAATATTTGTTTAAAGATATAAGAAATAATCATATTGCGGGTTAGAGAAATAGTTAAATTGCGGGTTATAAATTTGACTTTGTAGAATACTACATGTCTTTTTTGTGAGCTGAATATAAACTTGTAAAAACTTACATTTCCAAGTTTTTTTTTTTTTTTTGCAGAAACTTCATATTATCATATATGTATAAAAACGTGTAAATTTTTAACTTCTCATAATTTTGTCGTTGTGGTGAAAAATATTAGAAAACATAACAAACTGCAAAAGATCTGCAATATTAGAAAACAAAATAAACTTTAATAAATTAATATTTGGAGTTGTATCTAGTGTTATTGAATCAGATATCTGTAAGTTGTAACTGTAAGTTCTTTAACAAAAAAAAGTTGTAACTAAAATTATTTTAATAATTAACATATATTAACTACTAAAATATCTAGTAGATCCACAATCATTGGAAAACAATATTTCTGCTAGCTAAGTTTCCATTTAGGTTATGAGTTTTTGTGTAACATTTTTTGGGCTCCTCCCAGAAGCCAATCTCTGAAGACAGTAAATCCAAACTAAGAACCACCCAACCCGTCGTTTTCGCACAAATCAAAGTCTATACGCTCAGTTAACGCCAACTCACCATCTCTACACACCGCCAGATATAAAAGGCACCAACATTGGCAACTCTGATTCCAACATGGAAGGTAAGAATCCTCAGCATATGCAAACTGAGATCCCATATCCACTTAAATTGTGTCCATTCATTGTATATGCATGGATTTTTTTGCAATTTATGTAATTCGCTAACACATAGATGCACTTTCCTTTTCATAAATGCCACCACAAACCTCAGATATGACAATATGATTAGAGAGGTGGCTTCAATTGTGTTAAACCCATCTATATCAATCAAGGATAGCAAACTTTGAACATAAACCGTGAACATATGGATAGCAAGCTGTGGACACAATCAAGGCTACCGCAATCCTTATCAATTCTTCAATATCCATGCGCTCAACATCCATATGTTATGTGTCCATTCGTTTTGTATCCATGTGTTGTGTTCACAGTGGATAGCTTCTTCTTCATATAAATAAATAATATATGTCATGTCCATTTACAATAGCTAACATGTCCATGCATCCATGTCCATGCGGTTGTTCATCATCTCAGTCCGTATGTTTGTGCTTATTCCCCTGAAACTTTGTAATTACACGTGTCTTTTTTATTGAACATGTGAGAGTTCCTATCAGGCTATCATAGTGGCAAGTGATAAACTTTTCTACCTATAATGAAACAATGTTAAGAGATCGAGATATCTATCGGACTATCATATGTAATCTTCTTTCGCTGAGTGCTAAGTTACAGACAATAAATAAATTCAATGCTTCACGAATCAATTGATGCCTTTTCAATGTAAAAAAAAAAAATATTTGTGCAGGTAAGGTTTAACACCATTTTGTAATTTAGTTTTAATACTCTTTTATAGCAACACCATTTTGTAATATAGAAGCTTAGAACAAAAGCGAACCAACACTAAATTTATCTTTCCACGTATTAGTATTAGTCAAGTAAAATTATAAGTTCAGTCACATAACCTAGCGAGCAGTGGCGGTCCCAAAAAATATTTTGACATAAGTCATAGATTAATTTTAATATAATTAAATAATATTATTATTATAAAATAAACAAAAAAATCAAATATCACTACACTGAAGGCGAATCGAATTAAGGTTTAGGAGATTCAACAGCAGAATATTAACCAACTAAGCCACTTTTATCTTATTGTTCAAGCTTAAAATTTTAAAATTTAATATATCTAGTAGGTCAAGTGACCTACCTTCTCTTTATGTGGGTCTGCCCCTGCTAGCGAGTGGACGCAGAAGTATAGATAACAGCATGTGGATACGTCCGGTGTCCTAAGAGTCTCCTTATATGAATCTATGGTCATTGGATTGTGTTCATGCAGTGTATCCATCAGAGAGTGTCCATATAGTGTGTCTATGCGAAAATGTCTATGAGAGGCATTACTCTTGTCAAATATAAAAGAATGATGGACACCTTATCATGGATTAACATTCATGGACATGAATACATGGACAGTAGTATAAGTGAATTTGGAAATAAATAGTTTTTACCTTTTCATAACAGAGAATAATGGAGTGTTTAAGCTCAAAAGGAGGTTTTGGTTAAGGGAGTGGATAAGCTATTTGGATCAACGAGAGTGGTAAGAAGGGAAAAGATGATCTAAATATGTATATGGTAGCCATGAATTCACTTTTTAATGAAAAACATGATAATTAAAAGTTCAAATTAAGGTGCAAGTTGATAGAGTTGATTTTCAGAGAACAAATGCTTTGAGTATGAGATGAGATGACCAAAATTAGCAATCTAAGCATGGTTCAGTCTTAACTTCTAGCTTTCTTATGATGCATCAAACAACTAATCACTCAAACACTGAAATCATCTCTAAACTCTAAGCATTTTACAAAGAAGATTCATCATTATGCCCTATATAAATGCAATGCAACCTATGTGTCAACACTAGACTCAATCCTATGATAATGAGATGCAACTATATGCTTTCTTTTTGGTTTGCAAAAACATGCAAATTTTTTCAAAATTTTCGTTTTTTTGTGCTTTTCTATGTCTTAGATGAATGCATGATATGCATGTGACTCAAGATGAAAAAATGAAAAACTAGAAACTCCATTAACTTTAAGCCAAAATGGCATCATGTTTGGGAGTCCTCCCTTGTAGAAGGTTCCCACCTCTCAAGGGTAAAGCTCCATCTGTTAAAGTGGCATCACTTTGCTAACACCTTCACTAAATCTTTCTCTTTCTCGAAGTCAAACTGAAACTTTCCATTGCCCAGATTTGTTCCCTTTACTCTCCCTTGGATATTCCAGATATAGAGTTTTGCCAATAAGGCCTGGGTGCTCCTCTCCTCACGGTAAAACATTCTTCTAATCAGCGTTCACTTAAAAACGTTCTGAGACAACCACCAAATCATAAGCAGGAATCTTGATGATATTGTCCTTCGGTAGCTCTAAACGTCTTCTTGCTTGCGACGTAGTCTCCCCTCTGTGTAACATCCTTGATCCATAACTCATTATGTCTTTTCCAAGCAATGTATCAATGCCAGATTGGAAAATTGTTCCCCTCTTCCTTCCCTTGCATGATTTCAATAGAAACATAATACTAGACTAAAGAGTGAAATCACGGTACCGTAGTAACTCTCATAGTCATTGCTAAAAAACTTCAGACTAGTAGATCAAATCTTACACCTCAAATTTGGGCCGAAACAAAATACTAAACCAGGCGAGAAAGGGATTCCGCCGATATAATACCCTCGAAAAGTAGCCCTCTCTTCCTTCCCTTGCACAATATCAATCAGATAGTACTATACTAGAGATTGAAATTATTATATATCAAAGTCGATCTCTTAGCAATCGCTAGAAACTCCGAATTCAAAGATCAGATCATATACCACAATTACGGCCAAAACCAAATTAACACACCTAATGAGAATGGATTCAACGGATATAACTCTCTCAAAACGTTGCAAAAAGGGCTTAGAGAAATTCAAGCACTTATTTTGTATGTGTCGAGAGATTATGGATCTAAAAGTCGCTCTTTCTGCCTCCTAAAACCAAATAAACACACCATGAGTTTAGTTTACTTTTACAAACAAAACCTGAGGAACCAAATTAGTAGGCGGCTTGAGAAACTAAAACAAAGTTTTGTATGCAAAATGACTTATAAAAATTAAAAATTATATGAGTGGTTTTAAAACTTTTTGGTATGGAAAAACATGCGCCTTTTAAAATCATGAAGCATCTTGAAACTTCGTTGTTAGCAACAAAAAAAAAACTTCGACTTATAAAAGTTATCTACCATAACATGTGCATGCTAACATAAATATCATAATCTCACTAGCGAAGATGCCAACATGATTTACAGATAAACCACTTCACAACCAATATCAACAGATTTCTTCACAGCATCAACCACCAACTGCGTCTTCCTACTGATTTCCGGCCACCTCCGATCAGCCTCTGACTCGCCCTGCTTGAATCCTTGGACAAGCCTCACGAACTCTTTCAGCATCATTGCCTCCTGAGACTCCTCGGTTCCGACGCAGTCCACCATAACTTTCTCCGGCATCATGTTCCAGCCAATGTGCATGTCCACGAACTTAGCGCCACTTGTGTACTTGAACCAAGCTGTGTCCTCCTTGTAGGGGATCACATAGTCATTCATTTGAATCGACCCTTTTGATCCTGACCATCCATTTTGACAATTTATGTTACTACAAAGTACAAAGATCACTTTAATAACCATTTTGAAACTTATAGATGGATGTAGATTTTTCTAACTATATTTCTTTAATTTTCGATCAAGTTTATGTCCTTTTTTTTTACTCGGATTCGGTTCCTATTTTTTGTAATCTGAAAAGATAAAACCAATATTGACCAAACTATTTTGTACCCGGTTCGATTCTGACCGGATCGGTTTTCTTTATGCGGATTATAAACCGACATTCATTTGAATTGAATCGACCCTTTTGATCCTGACCATACATTTTGACAATTGATGTTACTACGAAGATCACTCTAGTAACCATTTTGACAATTATACATAGTGTAGGTTTTTCAAGTTTTTCGAATTTCCGGTTTTGAACAAACTTAATCAATGTAACGCCAAAATCTATTCTATATCGGTTTACAGAGTTTGGTTTCGGTTCAGATTTCTTTATCCGGATTTTAAAACTAGCTTATCAACCATTTCTATTGCACGTTACAATAGTAAGAAGTAAGAACCTGAGATAGCCAAGTCAGTCGAAAGTTGAGAGAGAAAAGAGCAGTGGACGATTGCGGTTGCGGTTTCAGTTGCGTCTGCGGTTGGACCAAACTGAAGGGAGGCAGAGCAAGACAAGATGGTCCCAACAGAGTTTGTGGCGATTGAGGAAGGAAGAGCCCTGACAGATGTCGGCATTCGATAAGACATAGCCCAAAGAGCTGCGCCTATAGGGTACCAACCAAGCTCTCCAATGGCTCCGGCTAAACCCATCGCTTCTTTGGTCAGTCTCTCAAGTACTTGCTCCGGTATCGGAGTCGTCATTGTGCTGTACATCTGCATAATATATTAACATAAAACACACGTGTCAAAGAAAGTTTGATAATTAAGGGGCTGGTGATTAGTGAAACATCAAATTTGAATTTGATTATAAATGATAGATTAAACTCAATCCTCAAACACAGTGACATGCCTAGGCTATTAAAAAGGCTCAAGGAAATTCTAGAAAACGTGGCCCTTGTTACCAAACAAGTAACGGTAAGATAAAAGATTGTCAATTTTTCTTCATGACTTCGTTGACCAAACTTATGCGATCGAGTTTTAATTTTCTAGAGAAATTAGGTCATATGACCATATAAAACTGAAAAATAGACAAAATAACTATAAAAATCAATAGCTATAGTATTTTGTATATATTATACAATATATACAAAACTATTCCTTTTCTATTTTTTTTCTTTTCCTCCTCTTTTTTTGTTCTTCCCTCATTTCTTTTATTTTCTCTTCTCGTTTATTTATTTTCCCTCATTTTTATCCTTTCTCCTTCCCCTCCGTCTTCTCCCCTACCCTCTCTCGTTCCTTTCTATTTTCTCTTCTCTTCTATATAGTTCATAAAAAATAAATATTTTATATATAGTATAGTAATATAAATCGATATAGTATACTATAATTATGTATTTATAAATTTTGTTTGAAGGACAAAATAGACAAATTTTAGGGTTTTTGGTTATTGAATCAATTATGAAATTAGTATGATTATATAATTTATTTTATAGTATAATATGGTTATTTCACAAATTAACCCAATTTTCTATATATATAATAGCAAAACTATTCAACCTCTTTTGTGACAATAAATTTTTTAATGTCATGAACTTCTCAACAAAAAAAATGCCGTTACACATAATTTTAGGACTTCTCTGCTCAAACTTATTATTTCATAAAATGATAATAGTCTTATCTTATACTATAGCGTATTTCGATATACGGGTTATTTGAGTCCCTCTTAACTTATATATGGGGCAATTAAGAAAGTAAACGATTCTATGGAGCAGTTTGCAATATTTGACCAAAAGATAGAGCTTACGTGGCGAACGTCTCCTAGCAATCCAGAATCAAACATCGTTTCTTTAATCTTAACCGTCCGTTGATGATGCAACCAAATCGCACCGTCCATAAACTGAACGCCGTTAGATTCGCACGCCTCTACGATCGTATCAATCTCCGCCGAGTTCTGAGCGGGTGGTTTCTCAACCAGGAGATGTTTTTTCTTCTCCGCCGCCGTTACCGCCCATTTCCCTCGCTGCGTCACTGGCATCGTCAAGTAAACGGCGTCAACGCGTGGATCGTTGAGTAGCTCGTCGTAGCTTCCGTACACGTTGACGGTCTCCGGCGATAAATTGTTTGCGGCCGCGAAGGTATTAGCGGTTTCGAGTGACGGATCGCTGATGGCGATGATGACGGCGTTAGAGGATTGAGTTACTGTTCTGACGAATTTTGACGCGTATCTGATGCATCCGAGAAGGCCAAAACGCACCGTATTGTCTTCCATTTTGTTTTTTGGTTATGTTGGAGAAATCTTTTACTCCTTTAATAGCAGAGCTACTTCTTCTGATGAAAGTGATCAGATTTTGAAGGTATTGCGACGTGGCGAATCATGAGCCTTTGTAAGAATTTTGAATTATCTTCTTCAATTTATTTATTCGTTTCGACATTCGGTTATATAGTTTGATTTGGTTCGGTTCGGTTCAAGATTTTGAGTTTTAATCTCAAGTAGCTAGAGTTAAACTTTGTTCTATTCAATTTGGTTTGGAAATTTTCAATTCAAAATTCCAGTTCGATCCAGCTTTTAAGATAAAAATATCTAAACCTTTATTTGTAAAGTGATTTTAAGGAACATAGCTCTCTCATTTAATCTAACTAAATATTATCTAAGTATTCTTAGTGAAAAAATTGCTAATCTATTCTAATATTTTTTGAGATTTTCAACATTATTTTATGTTGTTTTGTGTATATTTCGAATTTAATTTAGCTATTTCTAATATTTTTGAATTTCTACATAAGTTAATAAATAATCAAAAAGTATTATTCGTTGGTTCAATGATTTTATTGTTATCAAACTGGAAATAATATTAATATAGTTACCATTATTCTATGCGAACTTTAATAAAATCTATGTATTTTCTTATACTTTCTAAAACTTTAAAATTATTGTTTTAATTCAGACTGTGGCCCATTATATATGAGCGGTTGTCGTGTAACTCTAATCTTTTCTCTATATATATAGTTTAGTATTCTAGGACCGGCAGAAATTATCGATTTGTTTATTTGTTCTTCGCGTTTGTTAGATTTATATTTTTGTGAAATTTATATACGCATATTTGATGACATTTTTTAAATGCATGCAGTTGATGGCTTTGTTGAACTTCTTCAAGCACTGCCCTGTTTAGACGGTATCTTCTCTATATATATCATTTTTAATAATGAACATATAGATGTATTACGTTCTTTTGTTGATTTGGATCTTCGTTTATTCTTTTTTTTTATTTTTGTTGACAGTTAGGTGTTCAGCGCTGACTGCATTTCGACTACGTGAATATTATCAAGATGTTGTTTCGTTCTTTGTAGTTTTGCAGCTTATCGTGTATTTGATTTTATATTTGGTGAATATTTTCTTATGTATACAGGTATTTGATGAATTTATTCATATATGCTTATTTAATGAATTCTTCGTATGTATTATGAAGGTGGTATGGTTTTATTGATCTTCTTAAACAGTATGTTCTCTGTTTGTAACAAATATATAGATGTATTATGTTATTTTCGTTTAGAATTTTTGGTTTTTTACTAATGACTGGATATTCGTCGATATATGTGGACTTTGGTTTTGTGAGGTATTCTCGAAATGCTATAACATTTTCGTCTTTGTTTAATGGATGTTATATTTTGATTTTGTATCTAATGAATGTTTTGATATGTATGCAGGTATTATGTATTCACTTTTGGTTTGATTTGGGATCTCTTATAGTTTTAGTTGATGAATATATATAAGTTTATGTTTATTTAGTGTTTTATAATATTGATTAAGTTTTTGTTTTGTTTTAGGTGGTCAGGGTTGTTCATTGGTTTCTCATTCACTCGGGAGGTTTGTGTAGTTATGGCTTTTTTATTGTCTCATTGTTTCAGAGCCTGTGCTTACCCTTCTTTTGTGATGTTTATATTTTCTTAAGAAGGTCGGTTTGTATAATTTGTATTTGATGTTTTTCCTATATTTATATCTAATGATTTTTCTTATTGTAATGTTTGATGTTTGATAAGGTTTTCGAAAAGGTGTAATGATTTGTTAAAGATTAAGTTCAGAGTATAGAGGATATGTTGGGACTACCAAAGATAAAAAAGTTTAAGATTCATGAGTATATTTCCTTATTATGCATGCCTTGAAGAGAAATACTTTCGTTGATATTTCATCGAGATTAATGTAATTTGATTATATTTATGTCATCCATGTTTTGTACTTAGACCGTCTATAATTTGTAATAATGTTGTGTTTACTTAATAAATTATTCTATTTAGTTGTTCTATGGTATCTCGATTGGTTTTTTTATAAAGATGTCTAAAAATAAGAGATTAGCGTCCTATTTGAGTTTTGTTGGTATATGGTATTTTGAACGAGATTTACAATGTTATCAATATGTTTGGAAAAGTTGACGGTTTTGATATTTTCTGCATGTATATCGTTTGTTAAAGAAATAAAATATTTTATAGTTGATTTATATTTGGGGTGATATCGTATGTCTTTTATGAATATTGGTGTTTATTCTTTTTCTGATATCGGGAATGTGAGATTCTTGCGAGTCTATATATCTTTTCATATCTAGATTTTTGGGATGGGATGTTTTATATAATTGTATCTTTGCAAATTCTAATTGTAAAATTATTTGTATATATAATTTTTATAATATTGGCGATCTCTGGTACACGGAATGGTTAAATGTTTTTTTGGTATCCACACATTATCCAACTGAGCATTTCTCCATGCTCGGATGTTTCTCTGTTTATGGGTCTTAATGATTAGGTTCGTTGGTGTTATTATACTTTGGTGTCTTGAATTCTGTTGTTTATTTAATTTAGCTAGATTCGGACAGGTCTGAAGTAATTGATTAATTGTATAGTTGGGCCCAATATGTATCGAAACGAGCTCGAACTAGACAATGGGAAAGTGAACGATTGTCATTATTATAAAAAGAGTACAATTGTCTCCAAAGAGAAAGGTTCAGTGGCATCTCCCCGAGCTTTATATACGGGTTTTAAGGGTTATTTGACCACTGGAACTTATTTCCTTCGCCGACCAAGAATCCAATAAATAAATTAAAAATCGTCCAATCATCGCCGCCATGGATTGTCTTTCGAATGAAAAAGGGTACACCAAGTGGTCTATTTATGTGAAGGTTCTTCGGTTGTGGAAGCAGATCAACTTCTTCGGCCATACATAGGAACTTATCGTTTCCGATAATCGGGTAATTTCTGAAAAAGAAATGATAGAATTGGCTGCTCTTTTCTCTTTGCATGCGAAGATCTTTTGGTATTTCTTTCTTACTCGGTTTTTGATTTCTTATTTTCGGTTAGCAAACACAAATCTCGGTGACTGCGATGCCCGGTGAACTGCTTATCTACAAAAATTATTTTAGGGAAGGTTATTGGTACGAAATTTGTAATTTCCAAGTGAAGCAAGAGTCTGGATCTGTGATTCTGTCCGACTATGGTCAGAAGATCGAATTTGATCGTTCGACGAGGGTTAGAAGATTTGATGATGGACCTCCTCGACTATTTCTTCTATGTCGGTGAATTTTTGATGTTCATACTAGGGAGTTCGAATCTTGATCCTTAGTCGGTAATTTCTTCTTTTTAAAAAAATTATATTTCTAAAAAGTCTAATTATAGTTAGTTGGTGTAATTTCATGTGTCTTAAACTCGATTTCTTTCAGATGTAATGGGAACGATTTTAAGGATGGAGATGCTTTGGGATAATAACAATGATGCCTACCAAGAAGATTTGTGTCATGTTCGTTTTGAGATTTGTGATGCGAGGTTAGTAGTTTATAAATTATTTTGTGTGGATGGTTCGAATGGGATATATATTTTGATGTCTATGGTTTATTCATATTTGATGTCATTATTCTAGGAATGATGATGTCGTTGCGTGTATTGCCAAAGGGCCCATTGCCATGGACTTTGTTCGTGTATACGAGCAAACTGATCCTGAGTCAATAGTATGTGTCTTGAGGTTCTGGATGGTATCTGATGGCAAAGGTATAAGAAATACTATAATGTGTTCTTTATATAACTATAACTAACTCTTTCTCGCTATGAGTTGATAGCTAATTATATAATCACTTTTTGTAATGTTGTGTCTGTGTAGGTGCTGATTCTAAGGATGTTATTTTGTGTTCTCATTATCCATCTTTCCAGTTTATGTTCAACCCTATCGATGATGATGTTCATGAGTTTCAGAAGATGTAAGTTTCGGATTCTTGTGATAATGTTTTTCTCTTTCTGGTTGTGTTTCACGTAATGCTTTTGTTGCTAATATATTGAATTTAATATAAGTCAGACGTAATGGTCTTGGCGGCCGGAGTACTCGGTGATTACTTGGCTACCATGGACGCGTTTTGTTACCTTCGCCGTTTCAACTGAACATTTTTGGTTTCTCGGACTTGCTTTGTCAAGTATTATTCTCGAACAATTTCGCTTTATTTTACGTATGTTTGTAATATATGCTAAGTGGTCGTTTGTATTTTATTATCTTTTATTTCACTTAGACAATTGATAGTGAAATGTCAAATATGCGGTTACTTTTTATATTTTATTCGATTATAAAAAAAACAAACTATCCTGAATATTGTGCGACGTCTCAATAAGTGTGATATTCTTTCGCAATACATCTCGGTTTCTATTGTATATGATATACTATAGTTAGTCTTACAAGTATATGAAAAAAAGCGAGATGTAGATTGTGAATACATCGTGTTTGTTCAACTCTTTTTCCTATAAATATTTGTAGTTTTATCTTACAGATTCTGATTGTACATAAGAAATAACATACGAAATTGTTTAGTTTATATTATTTTAGAGTTTTATTAATAATTGATACGTTTATTAATTTATTATAATGAATTTTGTTTGTATTGCTCACAAATATTTTAGATATAATAGTAGTATAGACTATGATCGTATCTTTGTAACCGATAATTTTATTGGATTCTAGTGGGTCCGAATTATTTAATATTCTTCGCTTGGGCCCAATCTGTACTAAAATGAGCTCGGTATCGAAAAACAGTTAGGAAGTGAACGGATTGATGTTAGTGATTATTAAAAGAATGTTTGTCCCTAGTTAGGAAGTGAACGGATTGATGTTAGTGATTATTAAAAGAATGTTTGTCCCTAAAGTGGACCACTTACTACCATATTCGACACTTATATATAGTGTTTTAGGGTTTTTGAATGCCGCAGAACCTTCTTTTCTTCGCCGTTCGAGGACCATAAATAAACTAAAGAAAACATCTTCCGCTTTCTGTCTTAACCAAAGGATACACTGAGCGATCCGTTCGTGTCAAGATTCTTCAGATCTGGAAGCAGATCAATTTCTTCGGTCGTATTTTGGAACTAATCGTTTCCGATCATCAGGTATTTTTTAAACAAACAAATCTGGAATG